AAAGAGTCTGATATTGATAATAATGATGATAATTTGATGGAGAAACTATATGCAGACATTAAAGCACTTAACTTTTGGAATATAATGAATCTTGAGGAATATATTAACTACTCAGAGGAAAAGGATATACATAATATACTTAATGATCAGGAAATTTTAAACCTAGCTACTAACCCAAAATCTGCAAAAAATGAGATGATAGTACAAAAATGTGTTCAATTACTTACCAGAAAGTACTAAATGCAATAGAGCTAATTGAGCAATATATTGTACAACAAGATCTTAACGAAGTGGCCCAGAGTAAGTATAATAAAACTTTATTAAAATTACAAAAAGAAGTAAGAAAGTTTCGAAATGCAGCTTTTAAACAAGCGAATATTGAAACTTACTTTACATCAGAGATACCAGAGATTTAATTCATTGCAAAATGCAACTAACTTTTCTGAATCTAGCTTAGTTAAAAAAAAAATTATAAATCCAGCTTCGTTAAAAAAAAAAAAAAATTATAAATCTGTGAGCTTAAAAAAAAAAAAAAATATAGATCTTTTAGTTATTTGTTCTTAATAATAAAGGCTTAATATTAAATATTAGCAGAGCTTTTTTTGAATATATTGGTTTTTAAATCGAATTTGTTGTTTCAAATAAGAATATAAAGCTTATATTATATAAAAATTTTATGTACATATATACATATAATGATAGATTAAAAATGATAAATAATAAAAATTATAATTTATTATTGGCCAACTACTGGTCACATGATGCAGATCATACTGTAAAATTATTGGTGATTCTCTAATTGCAACCCTCTCTAAATGTATGCTCTAGAGCCTGGCCTGACAATGTGCATTTAGAAAGAATTGACTGTACTTGTTTTCAGACTTGGCAAAGTTTAAATAGATAATATTTATAGTTGAATTACTGATATAATATCTAGTATAAAATTTATAATATAAGTTGTAAATAGACTATTTAAAATAGACACCAAAAGTGTATATATAGCAGTATATACTTTCTAATATAAGAGGTTTTTTTAAGACTAATAGTCATAAATCTCTACTTAATACTACTTATAATATTCAGAGTCTTATTCAAAACTTTAACTTTTGAAACTATAAGTACTTTGTATAAAACCAGATATTATATTTAGGAGATATTTATATAAAAAGTAATAAATTAATATAGTTAACTCTCAGATTTTATTTAAGAAATAGACCAATAAGACAATTAATAATATCTAAGTCTTAATCATAAGAGGTATTATTTTATTAGAATACTATAAGCAGTACTATATAATAATACTTAGATAAAAACTCAGCTTCAAAGAAATTAATTAATAAAAAAAATTAATTAGTAAAATTTTAAAAATCATAAAATTTTAAATTATATAAAATTAATTTTTTAGATTTTAAAAAGGTAGTAACAGATATTATATAATAATTTTTACTATATCCTTTATTTTCTTCTCATCTATACATATCAATAAAATTATTTTAGAGTCTAAAATCTGAAATTAAAATTTGAAAATGAAATTGTTTTTGATTTATTTTACTTAAAAAACAAAATTTTTGATATTTTTTAAAAAAAAACAAAATTATAAAAAATATAAATACCTAAATTAGATTTGCTCTTGTATATAAAAAATTTTAATTTGTTCTAATAAAGACAAAATAGAGATTTTTCAAAATCTATTTTGTTAGTATATTGTTATATTAGTAGATTTTATTAGCATATTTTAGAAGATTTTATTAGTATATTTTATTAGTATATTTTATATTTATTATATGTTTATTTTTAGCTTTAGTTTAATAGTAAAATTTTTAACAAATAGTGTTAATTTTAGTATAATATTAGGTATGTTAACAGGTACATTAACTAATACGTTAATAGATATATTAATTGAGTTGTTAACTAGATTGTTAAAAAGGCTATTAACTGGGTTGTTAACTGAGTCGTTAACTGGATCGTTAACTGAATTGTTAACTGGGTTGTTAACTAGGTTGTTAACTAGGTCATTTACTAATAGTCTAAAAGATATAAAAACCCTGCTTTTTCCTCCAAAGCAGAGCAAACTGTCTTCTCCTTACTTTAAATTCCTTGTTATTTATAATTTATTTTCTTGGAAGTGTAACCATCACCTACCTTCTTTTTATTGTGTTTAATAAAACTTTTATTGTGTTTTTATTGTGTATTTAAGTTGAGCCATCGCCTCTTCTTTCTTTTTTGAGTATTTATTTTTGGTATATTAAGTTAAACCATCGCTTCATTAGGAAGTTTCGAAAGTATTAACTAATAGGATGTGACACGTTGCTTAACAAACCCTATATTGTTTAACACTTTTTATTAATAAAAATTGGTATTAAATAATAGGGATGTGATAAATAACAAATTAATAACTATTTATCACATTCTATTGTTTAATACTAATTTTATTAATAAAAAATATTAAACAATATAAGGTTTGTTAAACAATGTCTCACACCTTGTTAGTTAATACTTTGAAACTTTCTGATGTTCTTTTCCCTTTTCTTGGGTATTCTATTGTGTTTTAGGATTAGAGCCATCACCTCTTTTCTTTATTTTTGGTTTATTATTATACTTTAAGTCTCTTTTAGTTTTCTTTCTTATTTTATTCTTTTCTTATTTACAAATATATTTCTTAACTCTCTTACATATTAAGTCAAATAGTATAGCTTTATTAAGACTCTGTATTGTTATATTATAATATATATATATTTTCCTATATAAGAGAAATTTGATTGATTATTATTTTATTATTTTTTTTTTATATGATGTCTTTCAAGACCAAGCTTTATTGATATTTTGTTATTGACTACATGGGTTTACATTTTAGTATTACAACAAGAGTACAATCTAGGGGTTAGTAAAATTACAGGAGGGACAACTTATAATAATATATAGCCAATAAAAATAATTTACATTATTTCGTGTAATGATAATCTAGAGATATAACATAAATCTTATGGTTATTATACCAAAAAACTTTTGGCAGTATTGAACGATCGCTGATTCAAGACATGTTATTACTATTTTTTAT